TGATCAGTGTGAATTTATGAAAAAATTGGCAGAAGTATAACTCATAGGTTCGGATTGGACAAAAGTAGCACCAAGTTTTATTCTGGAAAAAAAGTGACTAAAAATATTTGAAAGGTCAAGAATACAGCCCTAACGGTTCATCTCTCTATATCATCGACTCAGGCCATTCTCACAGATGACGCATGCACCTTTCTCGCCGCAGCCACTGACACCGACGCAGATAGCTCCGGGCAACACGATGCAGTCAACGCCACCACCCTATCACACATGCTTTCACCGCCGCATCTCTTGTTCCTCTAACTTTTTCTCTTCCGCAAGTGTATCACTGCTCTCCCAATTCAGCGATGAAGACCAGATCTGGAGCTCAAAGATGGTCTCCGTTTGTCGTTGTCTATGGTAGAGCACCACGATCGCCGTCACTCAAAAGATCCAGATCGATACAGCTATAATTTAAGTTACAACTTGCAATTGCGAACAAACGAAGGTAGGGACACAACGCCTAGGGCTAGGGTTGTGTAACAAACTAACGGCAACGGGCAGGTAGGGTTTCACCTGGCCATGGCGATCAGCAGGGTGGAGAGGGGAATGGGGCTGGGGAGAAGGGATTGGTGCTGGGGCGGGGGGGTTTAGCGGCTAGGCCGCTAGGGGGAGTTGGAGTCTAGAGAGGGGGGCTGGGTTGGGACTTGGAAGGGGCTAGGTGGTGATAGAGACCTAAAATAATACTAGAATAAGAATACTATTAAGTCTTCTAATATTGTGTACTAAAAGGGTTTAGGCCCTATAACTATATGGAAGTGGGCTGGCCCATTAGAAAAGAATAAATAGGGTGAGCTGTGAGTAGAAAGGTAGGCAGAACTTTAGACTTGGGCTGGGAATTCTGGGAGAGATAGGCTGCTCTAAGTGCCTAAACTTGTATCGTTTCACTCTGTTCTTCCATTTACGTTCATAATAAACATCGATGTCCCTCTTTCGATTTTTGGTACCTATCATTGGTATCAGAGCATCGTTCCTAGAGCCTGAATCGATCCTCAGTTTCAACGACAACTAAGGAAGAAGATGAACAATAGCGACAGTCAGTGGAAGGAGTTGCGCTATATGTTGCGCAAATTTCTTCACCGTCAGAAGCGACATAGACACAGAGCGAGGAGTCCTCCTAGAAATCGTTGGAAGTTAACAAACCAGGACTCATCGTCATCCCAAACTTCAAGGCGAGCAGATTTTGCCAGTCCGAAGACTTCATCGCAAACAGCTTCGCCCAGTTCGCGAACCGACTCTCCTAGTTCGCAATCGCGAACGGCTTCGCGTAGTTCGCTGAGGTCATCTCAAGCTGCTCCGGCTTCTTCGCGAACAGATCTCGGCAGTTCGAAAGTGACCTCGAATTCAGCATCATGCTTTATCGTTTCTCCTAGTTCTAGTTCGCAGATGCGACCAAGTGCTCTCAGTTCGTATGCTGCGTCGCCAACAGAAGTCTCCTATTCGCAGATGCGGAACAGTTTTCTGAGTCGGCAGGCATCTTCATCAGCTACCAGTTCACGTTCAAGTAAGACTCTATGGAGAGGAGAATTCTTATCATCGTCGTCAGTCGATTCTCACCTTTCTCCTTCATCATCATCATCGCAGACTCCATCAGATCCCCAGGGCTTGCAGGTGTCATCGCACACCTCTTCTCACAGTGCTCAAGTTTCATCACCCACAATGAAGTTGAGGCCGGCTGAACCATCAATCAAGGGACCAGGTCTGGATGATAATATTACTCAAACTACAGGATATCTGCCAAATTATCCAGAAAATTCCACAAAGTCTGAGAAGGATAAAAATGGAACTAGTTCGGTAAAAGTGAAAGAGCCATTGCCAATGCAACGAGAGGATCAGGTAAAAATCACAGATAAAATAGAGAGGATTCAAGCACTAGAGTGGAAATTCGACAGTGCTGCGATGAATTATGAGCCTGATGTTTTTGTACCTACAACCGGGCTCAATCCCATAATGGATCAGTCACAACTTTTTCTAGTGGGTACAGGAATTGATGCATTCTCACCTGCAATGGTGATGTTGAAAGCAGGGCAAGTGGTTCATGGAGTTCCTAATGGTGAAAGTTCTAAGGAGTTGATTGCCAGTATGCCACGATTGGAATTGCACACTGACGAAGAAAAGAAAGTTTCTGTGAAGACTCACTCCTCGATTACTATGGCATATGAATCTGCCATTGATAAAATTGCTGGTCCAAGCACTTTGGAAAGCTCTACAGGGACTGTCCGTATAGATGACTTTAGCAAAACTGGAAAAAATGCGGATTATGTGGTGACTGAAGTTCCACAGGATCCTACACGAGCTATTAGCTCTTTGATGAGAAGAGGAAAATACAGAGATGAAGACAAGAGAGGATGGAAAGAAAAAGGAGGTGGTATGTACAAACCTTGGTATGGGGTGGAAGGATTGAAAGGAAGGACACTTGCCTGTAATGTTGAGGGAGGTACAAACCTCCAAGTCTTACTCTTATGCGGTTGGTATGTTTTCCAAGTTTGGAATGTGGAAGAACCTGGTGGTGTTCAAAATTTAGTTTCCAAGCAGGATGGTAATGTTTCATTCATGAAAAGCTCATCCAATCCAATTTTGTCAAAGCAAGATATGCATGAAATTGCTAATAGTTGGCCATTGTGGATAATATGTGCTGATGTTCTAACTATGGGTTGGTTCCATTACTTGAGATTTCACTCTTATGTACATCAGGTGAAGTTCAAATCAGTTGCTCATCCTGTGAGGTGCAGCTCTAGAGTGGTTACTTCCCTACCAGCAGCTCAGATACACTGTGGTAATGAAGCAGATTTGGAAAGGGGTTGTAATTTTGTCACAAACCCTGTTGCTAGGGGCTGTTCGGGAACTGCAAACCTGGGCATTGGACCTCCTGCTGTTGGCTTTAGGTGGATGGCTTATGCTAGAAATCCAGTTTCTATGCCTGCCTTACTAGAAGGTTCTTCCAACTATTTGACTTAATGTTTGTAAGATGGTTACTAATTGGAGAAGAGTCCTTGTGGAGGAAGCAGCACGAAAACTTATAAGCTATGTGCATGGATTTTCACCTACTAAATTGCTAGTAATAAACCTGCAACCTGCAACAAGTTTCTCTGTAGTTGGAAGGCAGCCTTTTAGTGATTCTGAAATGCATAAAAAGGGTTTACAGCAGTTGGCAAAGGGAAAAGAGTATCTTGCAGAGTTTCCGTATGCCAGTTTGCTATCCACAGTCGAAACAGCAGCATGTTATGCACCACTCATGAGATTGCTTGTGCCTATCGATTCGGGGTCATCTGGGCTTGCAAAATTAAAAGGCATTGACAAAGTAGAGTCAGTAGACCTTAAACTTCCTGGATCAATTGGAGTTATTATTGTTTGTGATATGAAAAGCAGTGAATTCAATTCCTTTTTCATACTGACAAATCCCAGAGAGTTGCAATTTGATGAGAACAATTGCTGGTCTGCCGGGAAACATGAGAAAGAGAACAATCATTATGTTCTCCAGGGTGACAACATCCCTCTCTATGAAGAGAATATGGTTAAACCGGGTTGGGAACAGCTATGTTCAGAAGGGGGGATGAAGGGTCCAAGCAATGTAACAAATGAGGAAGTATGGCTGAGAGTTGATAAGCAAGCAAGAACGTACTGGGAAGGAAGAGGCGCCAAGATGAAACTGAATGGCATGGCTGTTTCTTACTCCCCACCTTGAGGACAAGGTGGTTGTCAAGGGGGGAGTGATGATAGAGACCTAAAATAATACTAGAATAAGAATACTATTAAGTCTTCTAATATTGTGTACTAAAAGGGTTTAGGCCCTATAACTATATGGAAGTGGGCTGGCCCATTAGAAAAGAATAAATAGGGTGAGCTGTGAGTAGGCAGAACTTTAGACTTGGGCTGGGAATTCTGGGAGAGATAGGCTGCTCTAAGTGCCTAAACTTGTATCGTTTCACTCTGTTCTTCCATTTACGTTCATAATAAACATCGATGTCCCTCTTTCGATTTTTGGTACCTATCAGGTGGTCATAAGCAGGGTGGTCAATCAATAGAGTCAAAGCAGTCATAAATGGTGGGAGCGACATTTGGCTATGGTGGTGGTGGGCGGTGGTTAACCGATGGTCACTATCAATCCGAGTAACTATAACTACTCGATCCAAAAAACTATAACTGTAACCGGTCAGATCGAGTAACTATAATGATTGGGTCGAGTATTTGATTGAATCGGATATAACTAAGACCAATATGACAGGTCGAATTGGATAATCATCAAATCAAGTAATTGCAACTAATTAAATCAAGTAACTGTAAATATCGGATTAGGTAATTGTAATTTGTAACTTGGAAGGTTCTCTTTTTTGAAAATAATTAAAATTAGTCTTACGTGTGTCCATACATTACTATTTAGTAATATTGCTGGCAAAACCCTAAATTTATAGGGACAAAAGAACACAAAATAACTATTATAGTGAATGAAGCATAAAGAATTACATATTACATATTTCTCTATTGTTTGTATTATAGCCATGCATCCAATTTTATTTGTATTTTTTTTCCATTAATCCCATTATTACCTATGAATAAGGATGGACTAAACCCGGACATCCCAGTACTGACCCAGCCTATTGGTTTTAAGGGGTGGGTTTCGAGCTTGATTAAATGGGTGGTACTAACTCGAGCCCGACCCGATACTGTTTCGGCTCGGGCCGGTCCCGTAGTTTACCCAAGCGGGTACCAGGCCAAAATGTTGCATAAAATAAGCCCACCAGGATCGGGCTCAGCCCTGCCCCAGTCCACCCCTACCCTTGAACACCGTTAAATGCTATCAGCCTATCACCCAGTCACTCCAATTCCATGTAAAGGTCTACATCAATAATTGATATCATCCTAGAGATTAGAGAATAGTTGTAATTTCACAAATATGGTTTGGCAACGTTAAACTAAGGGGACAGGATCACAGGAGTAAACCTTAAACTTCAAAAAAAAATCAACTGGAAGTGAAATCATTAACACGGTCTTATAATCATTATCTTAGTTATATAAATTCGACCAATGGAATGCAAAATGTTTAGCCAAAAGAAATAGTTGTTTGTCAATGTTAAATCAATTTAAATTAAAATATACTAAGCACAAAATACCATCTAACTACTTTAATAATCATTATATTCATGCCTATGTCAGTAAGCATGATGGAAAATCAATAACAAAATATAAACAAATAGTTAAATGTTGGAAAAAAAATGTATACTTGTCTCCAAGGACAGAAGGTAATATGCTGAACTATTGGACTATCGGAGTGTTGAAGCTTCTTGTCAGAGGAGTGGATCTTTTGCCGAAGGACAGAAGGTAATATGCTGGAAAATGTAGACATATATGGATCAGTAATCTTTATGTCAACAAACAACTACTATTACTCCAAGATAAACCATAATACTTTCTGGTATTAAAATGATATTTCCTCTCAAGCTTGTGATGAATGCTTAAAAGATCAAACAGGGGCCAATTTATTTTTTAATTTTTCTTTTTTTTTGTAAAAAGTGATCAAGTCATTCAAAGTATTAGTATAATGGTAGAGACACATAAAATATCATAACATCAACACCATATCCAAGTATATGCCCTGGAGGTGTAAAAAAAAATCTGCCCTGGAGGTGTAAATAAAAAGTCTGCCCTGGAGGTGTATAAAAAAAGTCTGCCCTGGTGATGTATTTTAATAAAAAGGTAATACACGCACCAATGCAGGTACTGCAGCCGCCGCTCACCTACTTTAAGATTAGTCACAACTCTAGGAAAAAAAAGGAATTGTCACAGCATCTAATCAGGTGTTGGTTGGAGGAGAACAAAGCCCCCTATTGTTATGAAGCCAAATAAATTAGGCTGATTCTTTAAAGGATTAGAATATTGTTATTGCAATTAAAAGGCTGGGAAAAACACTAACCTTGGGCAAGAGAATGAATAACAGGATGCTAGTGCTATTATATAGAATGATTTGTATTCATGATAAGTATGACCTTAGAAACGCCAAGTAAAAGAAACACATTTAACCAACAAGGAACAGAACTCCAAAAAAATCACAAATACCTCAATTGGTTTTCGAATCTTAAATGTTGGGAAAACTTGAAAAACACTATTATGGAATAGAGATCCACAAAATTGACTTCTCCAGATCTGACACGACCTTTATCATAAAGCTACCTTTCAACAAAATCAATTAAAGTCATCTCCTTCAAGTAATGATGAATGATGATGATGATGATGTAGAGGTGAGACATGAATGATTAGCAAAGCAGAAAGAATATAAGTAAAAAGAGTTTTGCCACTTTTAGTCCTCCGACTATTATGTCATTGACACTTTTGGTACTCGAATTTGAATTTTTCCACTTTTAATCTTCCCACTATTGGTGCCCATCTTTGTAAATTTCCATATTAAGTCCTTTGACTTTCATATAATTGACACTTTTAGTCCTTCAACTATTATAATAGTGACATTTTTAGTCCTTCACTTAATATGTCAAAATTATAGTGAAAGGACTAAAAATGTCAATTTGATAATATTCCGGAGACTAAATGTGAGAAACTTCGAAGTCGAGGACTAAGAGTGTCTCTCACACAATAGTGGATGACTAAAAATGGAAAAAGTGAAAGTCGAGTATAAAAAAGCGTCAGACACAGTAGTCGAAGGATCGAAAGTGACAAAAACTCCAAGTAAAAAGGACCTGTGAACTATAAAAAATGTGTATTGCTTTCAGTCCACCTTGTTGTGATATGAAAATGACGACTTAATTATGCACACATAGCTGAAATCATATCAATATCAAATTATCAAAATCACACAACCCAAAATATTTAATATTGAAAATATTTAAAAAGCTAAAAAGTGACTTTTAGTAACAACACTTTCAAAGTGACTTTTAAGATAATGCTAAATTGATGAGTTTTGTTGCTTCATCATGCCACGCACATCTCTCCTGAGCTTAATATAACAAAGGCATAGAAAATTAGAATTGTTATCTGATAGAGTATCAGATAGTTAGGGCATCCCTGATATTAATTATAATAGGGGCTTCCCAATAGTTTAAAAGAAGAGGCAAAAAGGTAAATGAGGCAGCTGAAAGTAGAGGGAATAAAATACTCCATCCATCCCAAATTGTTTTGCAAAGTCAGCATTTTTTTATCAACCAATAATAAAAGTCAATCCACTCTATTGATAATTAATTCAATTTTCATTTTTAATTTACATATAATTAAAAATTGACATCCTAATCAAGCGAATAAAATGAAACTGTTTGACAAAAAAAAGTCAAATTTGCAAACCAATTTGGGACGGAGGTAGTAACAGAATAGCTGAGGTGGCAGACTTGGAGGAAGAATAAAGCCAGAGATTGAAGGGAAGAGAAAGCAGACTGGTAGTCAGTTGGATACAGATGCAGCATTGGAAAAGAGAAGCACGCACAAATACATATACGAACATGTGATATGAGGGAAAGATGGGTAAACATGGGCTAGCTCATGGTAATAGTGATTAGTGTGCCAGCCATATATAATGTTTTCAAAAATTACAGAGGGAAATATATGCTGAAAAATGTTTGGAAAGCTATAATAAAAGAGAGAAAACATGTTCTTGGGTCACATGCACTCCTACTTGCATCTACTGAATAAGCTCAATGAAATCTCATGAAGTGAAAGCAAAAGATAATAATATCTATCGAGAAGTTACGATTTCAAATCAAGAGAGCTACATAAATTGAAATAGGCAAAAGGGTCAAATAGGCCCTTGAACTAACTTAAAGTGTTCAATTAGCCCCTTATATAAGAGGTTCAGCCCGGCCATCGCCAATTGGAGAGGTTCCCGGTGGAATTTTTTGATGAAATTTTTTTAGCATCTTCTTCATTAAGTCTAGTTTACCCATATCAAATTTCAGCTAAAAATTAAATCGGGAAGGCAGTCAAATGATTTTCCGAAATGTACTGCATTGTTAAACTACGCAGTTATCTTCAAAAAATCATTTGATTGTCTTCCCGGTTGAATTTTTAGCTGAAATTTGGTATGGGTAAACTAGAATTAATGAAGAAGATGCTCAAAAAATTTCATCAAAAAATTGCACCGGGAACCGCCTCAATTGACGACGGCCGGGCAGAACCTCCTATATAAGGTGCTAATTGAACACTTTAAGTTAGTTCAAGGCCTATTTGACCCTTTAGCCATTGAAATATGCCTAGTGTTACAGACCTTGAAATACATAAAGTAGAAATATACATATAAAAATAGTACTCCGTAATATTCATAATAATGAGAATTTAAGATTAATTCGATAAGAGTTTTATTTTCGTGGATATTGAATAGAAAATAGAGGAAACAGTGCATCTAGTTTCTGGAAATTAAATAAAAACAAACTGGAAAATTTTCTGGGAAATCTAGCTGCTTAAATTGTCCATAGTCCTTGATTTAAATGAAAAGCAAAATGATTTAAATTAGCACCAACCCATCCATGAAACTCTTAAATTTTAATGTGGATTCATTCTTATCAAAGTTTTAAGGTTATTAATTAGTGCAGAAGATCTATCAAAAATTGTTCATGCTCATATAAGAAATAAATCACTTCAAGAAACATTATTATGTGGTTATCATAAACATTATTTTGAATTCCCTCATCTCCATTATTATTCACTAAATAAAAAATGCCTGTTCAATAATGCAATCGATCACTAAATTACGTGCATCATTTAATAGCCCAGGTAAGTCAGTAAGTAAAGCATAATATTTGTATGTGGTGGCATGAACTTAGTTTTTAAAAGTTTTTTTAAAATTATGAGGATTCTTTTTGTAAACTAAAAATAATATGAGCTCAATTAGGAATGCTGAATTTACCTTGTTGCAAAAATCACAGCAAGAAAAGATGAATTCACCTTTCCAAAAATATATTTTAAGCCAAGAAAAAGGATGACTGTCCATATGAAAAGAAAGAAGAGCATCAAATATCTTTTATAATTTATACAAACTGAAAGAATCAGTAAAAACATAATTCAGACTAAAGTTAGTACATCAATGAATTGTAAGAAACCTGGAGCTGAAATTTTAGTAATCTGAAACTAAATTAGGAAGAAATAAATTACCTTATTGAGAGATTTTAAGCAAAGAGGTGAAAGAACTTTGATGGTGGTGTACTTCCAGAAGGATAAAGGAAAGCATCTGCCTTTCTGATGGTGATGTTGATTTTCATGGCCCTCTGCCCTAATTTCGGGGATGAGATGTATGAATAAAGAAGATTGGGATGGATGGTAGGGTTGCGTAGATATGAATCTGAACAAAAGGTTTTGTTCTAGACCGATCAATTAAGAGAAAGTAAGGATGGCTCTGAAAAGTTAATGTTGAGGTGCTTCAGATCGCTTTTAATCGCATGACAGTGATTCTTTGGGCACTTGAGCGGAAATATGAATTCCATAAACTACTGCTTTTAAATATGTAGAAGGATTTCTTATAAAAATATCTTCTAAAATCATAAAAGCCAGCCATAAACACCAAATGAACATATACACCAGGGAAACTCAAGTGGACCTTGCATTTTGTGAAAAGCTTGAAAAGTATGCTTGAATTTTATGACTACAAAGACAAAATGTATTATACTCGGTAGTATTTACCTTTTGATGTGTCGTGCATATTAAAAGGTAGATTTCATCATAGAAGTCTTTGCATGCAATCTCGCCATGAATTGTGGATTCATTTTCAGTCTCTGTTTCACATATGCAGCACGAGCATCTGCTACTAATTTATTTGCTTTGCCAGCCTCCTCAATTAAGGATAATAGAGTCCTAAGGCAATCTTTTCTGTTCTCCTCACGATCCTCAAACCTGATAAAACCACCCAAGTCCTCAAAAACAAGGTGCAAAAATCAAGGCCATATTGAAGAATGAAACTTGTTTTTCAAACATGCAGATACTTGTTTTCATCTCACAACCTTCAATTTCTTCTTTATTAATGAGCGTGCCAATTCAAAAATGGGAAGAAATTTTTGGGGCATCAAAAGGGAAAATGGGAAGAAAAACTATAGGACGAATGGAGCATATAGTAAGACTTGGGAGAAATTCTCAAAACAGGTGTAAAAACATTGTAAATTCCAAAAAAGGAGTTTATGTTTTCCCCGAAACGTGTGTGTTACAATCATCCTGAACATTTAGTACCATATTTCTGAATTACCATGCTTTAAATACGGCAGTATGCTGCCATAATTCACAGCATTTCCGAAGCATAACTATAATTATTCTATATTTAGGAAATAAAAACATAGTGCTCCTATTTTGGAATTTCAAAATGTTTTTACTCCTATTTAGAGCAATTTCTTTAAAACTTAAACAGCCAAGTGCATCTCTAGAGAGCCAAAACCCGGGTTAACAATGAGATGCCACTACCAACACCAAGACAATCACATAATAGACTTAATAATTGACAAAGTTGACATATACACCCAACCTTTCACTCGTGATAGTAAGTTGATCTCTACCAGGATGGTAACGTTTTCCAACCAATTCTCTCAAGCGGCGAAACTGATGCTTGGAAAGACCAAGCTCCTTGACTGTGACAGCCAATTTCACCTTTCTGTTCTTTGGGTGCCATGCATCACCACCTGGAGCAAAAACTGCCCTAGTTTGCCACCTAAGAATTGGCCCCTCACCAGGTGGGTCATCCACATCCTTTTTCGTATCAGCAATGGAAGACCCATCAAATTGCAGAGTCTCCTTCTCCGCATGTTTAGTACATTCTAGAACCATTTGATCCTCAAACTCCTTGTACAATTTATAACCTTCTTCAGCTTCAAGCTCACCTTTTTCAACCATGTCAGATATCTCATCAAGCCTTTCAGCAACCTTCATCTTAATCTCATCTGTAAAAAAAAGATTAAAACCAATGTATCATAGAGTTTTGGGGCAATAACCTATAACTAAACAAAAAATGAAGACCCGAAAGTATTTTGGTGGAAAAGAGAAAATGAAAGGAAATTTAGGCCACATTCAGGGCGGAATTAGTTTTCAATTGTTTGTAAGATAAACTAAAAAAATTGTACTTGGCATTATGGAAACAAGAAAAAGTAGTTTTCAATTTTTTGTTTAGAGTTAATGAAATTAACATGATTACTATATGCATGAGTAGTATCGCTTTATTGTAACATGTGTCGTGCAACTTTAATTTAAAATCACTCAACAAAAAACTATTAACTCGCTGCCACCCTTAATGGGACCCTAGATTATGCTATTCGATGGTACTGACAGAAAAAAGAAAACACTACTGCAAATATAATTGTCCTTGAAGTGATCTGACAAGATTTAATAAACGAAATTGCCCTAAATAGGACTAAAGCAAGATGTTTTCCCAAAATATGAGTACTATATTTTCCCACTAAATAGGAGTAGGTATTTCCATGTCTGATTATGCCATAATATGGCAGTACAATTTCAGGGTGACAACATTTTACTACTATGTACTATTTGGGGGGGAGAGCATAAAGGATTTTTGAAAAGCTTATGATCAACAAATAAATTCTAGCATACATTATTTCATTATTTAGAGGCAGAGCAAAACAAACTAAGTGAAGTGTCTTAATATATACTTCTAAGTCAGCGTTTCAGTCAGCTAAAATGGTAACAGATGATCTTGTCTATAACAATTAACAACTGACTAGAATTTTACTTAAGGCTGCAATCCTTCTATACTTTATTGTTTCATTTGTTTTACTAATTTTACCTTTGCCTTGAACTAAATATCAACTTGAGCAACTTGAGCAACTCTCCCCCCCAATAGTGGGAGTCAGAAACACAAACACCCACCACGGAGGTACCACCCATCAGTACAGTACAGCACAGCACAGAGGGGTTGACTTCTGGCGCTGCAAGTTTATTTGTGATTTGGAAAAAAATTAAAGAAGTTACAGATATATTATAATATTATATAATGAAAGGGGTAGTGTTTCAATAATAGAATGTCATACTCACTAATTACAAAGTACAAACTACCCTACTAGGAGTTTGTGACTATGCATGAGTTTCTCAGTGAAGATGCAGAAATATATAGTCTACCCTAAAGCTCATACAGCAGACCTATTGTCCAATTTGACAGCTCCAGGATTGCAATGGCTACAATAGCAAACCTAGAGCACACACATGACACATCCATCCTATAAGTCAGCATATAAAATGTGTTCTTCTATTTCAGTAGTTGGGAATCATCATTTTCATTTATCATTTTCATTTACCCCAGTGCCGCAAAGGCTCCCACCTACGGTGAGTCTGTGAGGTAGTGTCGTTCTTGAAGTAAAAAATGATTTAACTGTAACCATTTAATCAGCACTTTCGAGAAGTCAAATACACCCAACCTAATATTTCTAATTTGTTGTTTTGGATAACAATAATTTAGAGTACCAGGTAGAAGCTTATCCCAGTGAAGCATGTCCTCTAAGATTTCTTCACACTCCTTGGTATCCTTGAGATGTCCATGTGCAACAGCCTCTCTAATCATATCATCCCATTTTCTTTCATCCATGTTGAAATACTCATCTTGTCCCATTCTCTTCGTCACAATATTTGTTGCATCATACAAGTTATCAATATCTTCGTCCGTTGAATGGGCTTCTTCAAAATCTTCTTCAAATTCTTCATCATTAACATTATCAACAGGTTCCAGTCGGTTCATTCGGAAATCTTCCAATAACTCATCATCAGTGTCATCATGCTTTCCGTGTAATTTCCTCTTCATAATGGCTTCAATGATATTGGGGAGTACATCATTTTTGTCATTGCTGAAGTAGTCTTGCAGCAACCCTTTCAGCTCTGAAAATATAGAATAAGAAGTGAAAGTGACGTGAAAAAGTGGATTGGTTATATTTCTTCCTACAATGAGTCAACTACTAAGTTTAAAAACCATTGTTTCAACGATATTTTTTCCCACTGTTTCAACGATAAAATATATAACTCCCTCAACTACAAATTCTAAATCTCTATATATAATATACTCTATAACAGCAAACAGGAAAAATTTTACTTCACTACAATATAATACAGAGTAGTAAGCACTACTTTTTTGAGAACTCAAGAATTGGTGATCTATCAAAAATATAAAAGTTCAAAATATGATATAGCAAAAAGACGAAATACTTTCTGAGAACAAGTCCAAACCTGTATTGCTGACATCTTCAACCTCAAGTGGTAGCTGAGTTTTCTTTGGTAGAGCTAAGCTGGTTTCTTCAGGCTGGGAAGCAAGTTCAAGCTTCCCAGGGCTTTCATTTTCAGCCGATGAGAAAAACCTTAGCTTGGAAGCAAAAGAATTTTGAAGCTGAGAGTTGATAACACCATTGGTGCTTGAGCTAATGTGATTACGGTGTTTGATAGTGTGACATAGGTGGTGGAGATTGCGCGAGCAGAAAGTAAAAGCTATTCTCATTGTTTTAGGGTTTCTGCAGAACAAAAAAGATAAGCATTGCTGAATTGGAATGAAGGTTCAATTTCATAGTTCAACCAAATCAGAATTGCAAAAGGATATAAATGAATGTGTTAGTAAAACTGGAATTCATGTCTAATCTGAACCAGTGAGGCACAGAAACGCAAAACCTGTGGAGAAATCACTTGTCAGGCACAATGGATCTAGCATTTTAGTCCACTGAGGGACAAAATTTAGTCTGTGTGTGTGTGTGCTAACTTCGATTGCAACATAAATAGTATTGTAAAATAATAAATATGTAAGGGTTTACATGGATAAGAGTTTTCATCAAAGTCAATTACAAAAAGAAATCACAAATTCGCAGAATCACAATTGTTTGCTACAGTTTTAGAGATTATATAGCTTGAGAATGACATCATTTTTAGGGTTCATGAAGATATACTTTTTCTACGTATACTAGAAGCCTATCATTATTGAGTCACTTATCACTTATTCGATTGCTGGATTTATCATTAACGATAATTATATTAATATCAAATACAATATAATGAAATAAATAATAACAACAACTAATGGAAATATATGATTAATAAATTAATTAATACTAAATAATGAGAATATGAGATAAACAATCACAAATCACATTAATACTAAGAATGCTATTAATACTCACAAAATACATCAATACTAGTAGATTAATAATAACAACAGCTAAAACAACATGAAGTCTGACTAGAAATATCATAGGAATTGAATTGATTCTCTCTCACTAGAAATATCATATGAAAAAAAAAAAAGTTGCGTCGAAAGACTAGCTCTTCCCTTCTTCCTCCCATGTGGTGTCCTGTAACCGAAAGTCACTCTGGCTTAACTGACTATGAGTACTATATGTCTATATGGATTCTTTCGTCCTGACTCTATCACTTAGGGCCTGTTTGTATTGAAAAATACAAAGTATTAAGACGTCTGTCTGTATTAAGACGTCTGTCTGGAATAAGTGACACTTGTATAACAAGTTGTTTACTATGTGTACTGAATGTATAGTCTGTATTATGTCATTTTACCAATTTATCCTTCTGCCTATTATGAAAAAGCAAATTTTAATTTAGGATCGAGTTGGAAAAATAATTGAAGTAGGCTGCACTAAATCCAAGAACCCACCAAAAAAGCCTAATAACCCATTTATTTGTAATGCATTCCAGGACATTCTGTCGGCAAGTGTCACCTTGCCTGAATCTTTCCTAAAGCTCTATCCGAACAAGGCACAAAGCTTATTTTAAAAATTGAAACTTTAAGCAGCTCAGGTGAAGCCGTATCAAATTCGAACGGATTCGTAATGTGAATGCAGAAATAACAAAATAATTAACACCCAGATATAGAATTTAACAGAGTTCTCAGTAGAACAAGATCTTCAGGTTTTGCTTCAAATTTACAAAGACAATGAAGAGAATCAGTACATGATCGGGCAGTGTACCTCAAAGATGTAGAAATTTATAATCGAGACAAAGCAGAGACTTTCATTCAATCTTGGATATGGGTTTCAAGCACAAAGCTTAGAGCATGTCCGATTGGTGAGTCGCGAAGGTTATAAAAGAGAATAGGGGTGTAAAGTTAGGTCTGAATGCTAAGGAGTATTAAATTTGGGCTGAGTCATGATTTTCAATAAGTCACAAGTAAACAAAGCTACATGGCTGAGCGAATAAGTCCAGATTTCCATTAAGCTCATTAAGTCAAAAGTAAACATGCCCTTAGCCTTAGTGTGCCTAGCTGACCAGGGAAGGAGATAGAAGATAAAGATTAAAACATACAAAAAAATTATGCACCATCACTAAATCATGTTCATAGCAAAACACTAAAAGCTAAAAATATTAATAAAAAAAGGTGAATGTATAAGCTTAAAACAAACAGTCAAAACTTTCGAAGTATGTAGGTAATGTAGCAGACAGGGGCGCCGAATTGAAGTCTGGAGACTTCAATTGAAGTCTGAGACGTAAAAAGTTTAAAATGTTGGATTTGCCTAATACAAATCAGTTCGATGGAAATCAAACAATTAACAAAGCTAATGGTGTGAGGACTCACCAATCGTCTAATCTTCTGGAGGAGCGTGCAGCGGAGGACTACGCTGTGGGCGGCGATTGCCAGCTGCTACTCCCTACAGTGAGCCATGGTGACGATGAAAGAAGACTGAAGATGAGGATGATGGTGTCAAACTGTCGATGAGCGGAACTGAAGAGCGGAAGAAGAGTTTTGGGCTGATCAAGTTGGACGGATTTCATCTTTAAAATATTTGGGCCTTAAAATTCATGTATTTGGGGGATTTTTTATTTTTGGAGTGGGTCTACTTATTCCAATCAACCGTCTCCAAAATCGTCAAATTATTTGATTTTTACCTCTGCGATAACACGAAACAAAATTTAATAAAAAATGTTCTACCGCTTGTTTACATTAAAATTTAATAATAGCATTAAAATTTCATAAAATTATATAAATGCTTTGAAAAAAGAATAGAGTTATATACAGAGTAATAAATCATTAAATTATAAGTAAGAAAAGCATAAATTAATGTTTATAATGTTTTGGAAGCACGCAGAATGTAAATAAAACTACGGGTATAAATATTTTCCTTCCGTTTCATTAAAATTTGTCAAAACAAATTGGTTGCCCAAATTTATTTTGGTATTTTCTTATTAAAGTAGCCAATTTGTAGTTTTATTGAGATCTCTTTCCTTTATACAAACTTCAATCACACAATTTTCACTTTTCTTATTTTTCATCTTCTTCTAAGTTGGCAAAGTCGGACGAGACGAAGGTAATATAATTGTGTTAATCGTTTTACCTGTTTTCTCCTTTCTTCTACTTTGGATTACTTGTGTTTATAAAATATGGGTTTAGAAAATGAAAAAAAGAGACTATTTTGTGTTCAAATGATCTTCATTATTTTTATATCAAAATTTAATACGGAGTATTATTAACATAAAAGGAACAGTGAATACAAATTTATTTTTTTATATTTTAATTTTTAACAATTCTTTTAGTACTACGGGGCAAAAACCATAATTATATGTTAAAGTTTAAAATATTTCATTTGGGTAAACAATAATAAACTGATATAAAATACTAAAAGGAAGCGTGTAAACAAAGTTGAATATTTTTAATTTTTTAATTTTTCAATCTCCACACTGAATATGTTTATTAATTTGTTTTGATAATTTTAAATATAACCTTTTATTTATTTAAATTAACAAGGATAAATTTGCTCCTAAATACGGAGTATGAACTTTAGAGACGCTTTTGTATCTTTCAGAACGGTAGGGGCATATATGTACTTGAAACTAAAGATCTCTTTCCCCTTTAGGCTACACATAGATGAGCTTGCATTATCCTTAAAGAAAACCAATGCGGCAGAAGATGGTTCGAGGTGGAAGATGTTGGGTGTATCTCGAAAAACAAAAACAAAAAATTAATTAATTAATAAAATTAATTAAACTGAGTAAAGAAAAACAAAAAAGAGATGGAGCAGAAATCAGTCAAACCTCGTGCTACACACAATGTTCTTAAAACGTATATGTTGCCTCTCTAGGTGCTAGGAGGGTGGTGCAATGATCGTTTCCGAGGATACAATGGCTACGAACAATCGTTGAGCACTCAAATGAATTGTTCCGGCGAACGGAAACACAACATGAACACTAAGGAAGTTTGCAGAATGCTAGGGTGTATTTGACCTGAAAACAATGTGAAGAACGAGTTGTGTGTTGTGTTTGTTGTAAACCACCTGTCAGCCATTTATAAGGACGAATTGTTGTTTGTTAATAACGTTATAATGGACATGAACATTGGATTCCCTGAAAATGTTATACTCCCTCCATCCCCTTATATTGTCCCGTTTTACCTTTTCGGAAAATTCCACTAAAATTGTCGCATACCATATTTGGTAAAGTTTGTGTGGCTCTAAATCAAATAAGTCCCTCTACTACTTCAAAAAAAATCAGACGAGCCCCCCCCTCCCCCAACTAAATTAACATCCAATCAAATCCACAAACACTTAAAAAAGAATCAAATCCTCTTTTTAATAGGTTCCTTCCGGTTTCAGATCAAATTGAGTATGTGGCGTCTGATGTGGCAATTTTTTTTTATTTTTCCTTTCATTTTCTTTTCCTTTTTCTTTCCTCAGCTCTTTTATTTCCGTTCTCCTTCTTCCCATTGACTAACACCAACAACTTCTTCTCCTTTTTCTTTCTTGATTTCTTTCTTCCTTTCCCACTTTTCTTCTATCCCCGAGTCCTCTGCTAGCATTTTCCCGGCCTCACTTCACCCTCCTCTTCTCTGCCACCGACTTGGATCTCCGACCGAATTTAAGTTGCGATCTGGAAGTGGCTTGGAGGTCTCACAGAGCACCGGTCGAATTGAAGCATCAACGGAGTACCTTCCCCGACTTTCAAATTAACCATCGAATCGCGGAAAGGGGGCGACCGGCCAGCGAGGAGGCATCTGGCGTTGTAATAGTCTAGACTAGAAAAACGAAGAACTAAAACTGAGAAGTAGGAATTCTAGAAGATGAATAGAATTCAAACATAATGAGATGAACAGAGTAAAGAAGAAGACAATTGATCGGTGAAATCATTTCATGTCTTTCATATCAGTCCATGTACACTTATTTATGCAAAGTAGTTCAACAACTTCCATAACTGACTAGCTAATAGCTAACTAACTCGTTAAAGTTAACTACTTGTGATCACGTGTGTGCCCGCATGGTTTCACAATGTGGAGTAACAAGCTGACGTGGCCAGATTCCATCCAAGCTCATAACAATCCATCCCCCTTAAGCTTGTCCTCAAGCTGACAGGTTTTTTTCCACAAACTCTGGAAACCTATTTGTCAACTCTGTATAGGACTCCCATGTTGCATCTTCTTTCTCCTCGTTTGACCACTAAATAAGCCAATAAACTGCAGCTCTATTTCCTTTCTTTGCAATCTTCCTTTCCAACACCAACATAGGTTCAACTCTTATAACTCCCTGATCATCTACTTGAGGCATGGTTACTTGTGTAGGGATATCACCCTTATGTTTCTTGAGCTGGGAAATGTGAAACACTAGATGAATCCTAACTTCATCAGGTAGTTTAACTTTGTAGGCTACCTGTCCCAGATTCTTTATTACTTCAAAAGGGCCAAAACAATTGGGGCCTAACTTCACATTCATCCTCCTTGTTACAGATCGTTGCCTATAACGCTGCAATTTAACATAGACCCATTCTCCACCTTGAAGTTCCCAATCAGTTCTATGTTGATCTGCTTGAGTTTTCATGCGGTCTTGGGCTCTTTTAAATGAAATTTCAGCAATTTGATACATTCCTTCCTTGCTTTTAGAGTTATGTCTACAGCTTTTACTGAGCTAATACCCATAGCAATAGGAGAATGGTTAGCTGGAGACTGACCATATACTACCTCAAAAGGGGTAGTGTTTATGGATGAGTGGAAGTTGGTGTTATACCACCATTCTGCAATTGGAATCCATTTGCCCATTCTTTTGGATGCTCTCCTGTCATGCATCTTAAGTAAGTCTCAAGGCACTTATTGACACTCTCAAACTGGCCATCCGTTTGGGTATGATGAACTGTGAATAGCTTAAGTTCTACCTTCAACATTCTGAACAACTCTTGCCAAAGCTTGTTGATGAATACCTTGTCTCTATCACTCACAATGGATTGGAGCAGGCCATGTAGTTTAAAGACATTATCAAGGTATTCCTTTCCACATTGCTGACATGATAAGGATGGCTAAGTAGGATAAAATGGACATACTTGCTTAATCTATCAACCACTATAAGTATGGTATCTTTATTCTGAGATTTAGGGAGTCACTCTATGAAATCCATGGAAATGTCTCTCCATATGGTTTCAGGAATAGGTAGAGGTTGTAATAAGCATGCAGGTTTCAATAAGAGGGGTTTATTTTTCTGACAAGTGCTGCAAGTCATCACTCATTCTTTAACATTCTTTTTCATCTTCTTCCAATAAAAGAATGTTTTGAGTCTTTGGTAAGTTGCTTAGATTCCTGAATGACATCCAATGGCAAATTCATGTACTTCATCTATAATTTCCTTCCATGAATTCTCATCATTTCTCACCACAAATTTGTCCTTTCTGATCATTTTTCACATCCTTCCACGTGTACTTCTCTTTGATAACATTTCTTGCCTTCAACTTGTTAATGACTTCACGAGAATCTCCTATGGTCCAACTGAGTTCTATCATCTTCATTAAGTCAAAACTGATCTCAGTGATCATCATATTTAGTAATGCACCAGTGTCCACTCTAGATAGTGCATCTGCTGCCATGTTCTCCTTACCCTTCCTGTAGACAATCTCATAGTTCAACTCCATCAGTTTAGGTAAGGACTTGCTCTGAAAAGGGGTGGTAATTTTCTGCTCAAGCCAATATTTCAAACTGAAGTGGTCAGTTTGAATGATGAAGTGTTGGCCAGTTAGATATGCTCTCCACTTTTCTACGGCAAGGATCACTGCCCACAATTCCTTCTCATGAGTAGAATAAGCCTTATGTTTATCAGCTAAAGCTTTACTCAAAAAAGCAATGGGGTGCTTATTCTGAGAAAGCCCAACACCAATCCCAATGTCAGAATTATATGTCTCTAGTCTCTACTACAAAAAGGATTTTAAAATCAGGCAGAGCCAGTACAGGTGCTTGTGTCTAGCTTCTTTTAATTGAACAAAAGTTGTTTCAGACTCTACTCCCCATTGGAAGGCATTTTTTTTAATCAAAAGCTGGAACTACCAAACACTTTTTTTAAGCTTTTTCAGTACAAACACTTTTTACTTTGGGGGTTTTACAAATGATTTTTATCAGTAGCCATTAAGTATAATTGCTTCTAGGTAAACTTGTAATTAACTCCAACTTTATGGCTACTGATAATAGCAAATAAATCTGTAAACCACCCAAAGTAACCCTCTGAAATAATTATGACTATCCACCCCATAGCTCGGACTGAATGCTCGTTCCATCTTCCCCATCTACCCCATATGCGCCATTCGAACGAATTGAAGCCGAGATATTTTGTCGGCGCCATTTGTTCGTTCCATCCTCAACTCTCACGGATCTTCAATGAATCGCCTCTCTTCCTCAGGTTAGAACTATGTTTTTACACAATCTATGAAAATGGCCTCTTTTATGTAGAGATGAAATCCTTAAAATTCATCCCTTTCTCTATAGTTCTTTTATATAGAGATGAAA